TGTCCGGATGTTTTGGGGCCAGATTAAATCGTCCACTGGGACCCTGGCTTAGAGGGGACGGTATTGCGTTTACACAGTTCAATTGCTTTCACTAATCAGTTGATATCGACGATGTAGGTAGATATATTATTAAGTATACCAATTTCAAAAAGAATTTTGATTGATTAATGCGGTTTAAATTAATTAATTATGTTTTATAATAGTTCTACGTAATAAATAATATGATTGAAATCAAACAGATTGTGAAAGAGTTTCGTAGTATCCAAAAAATATTTTATATCCTGCTTATTGAAGAATCCATATGATGTAATTTAACCTAAATACTGGTGAAAAACATAAAATAAATACAAAAAAATAGTAAAAAAGCTAAAATAAGTGTTTTGGAATGAAAAAAAAATACAAAAAGGTTCTCTCCGGCGGGGAATCGAACCCCGGTCTCCCGCGTGACAGGCGGGGATACTGACCACTATACTACCGAAGACTGTATCTGAAATGTTGAAATAGTGGTCTACATTACACAACAACAGTTGAAGAAATGAGAACCACACATTTTTTTACGTATTTTTTTTTTGTGAAAAATGGTATGATCTTTATGGTAACTTTTATTTTTATCGGCAAGATAGTAGCCAGTTTGGCTGTAAGAGCCATTTGAGAGCCAATGCTGAGTAGCCAAAATATCAAGTTAAAAAAATATTAAAAAAATCAATACATAAAATGTACCTAGCTAAACAACTACTATTCTATAATAAAATATGTATGCTGTCTAGTCCTTGTCTTACATATTTAGCTTTTAGCTATTATACCTACCTATGTATACAAAAAATGAATATCAATTTTATTAAGTCTGTAAGGTTGAAATAAATAAATATCCTATTACTTCTAATACTCTACCTACTAGATTTTGTCCAATCTAGTCTAGCAGTCTAAACACGTTTGCCTCCAGCTCCAGGGATTACCCCAGAGATATATAACTAGGCACTGGGCACAAACGCTTTGCCAGAGTTGATTCAATTCTGATTGAACTGTGTATCTTAGATGAGACTGTCTGTAATAATCTTAAAGAAAAGCCTTGAACTTGTTAAAGAAATAGTTTCGACTGGTTTATTTTGTAGAAATTACGATAACATAAAATAAAACTGCTTTTTGCAGCAGTAATTTATGTAATAGCGGGAGATATTATATGACTTTTCTAGGTTTTGTTGATTCTGGAGGTCGAACCAAAGACCTATTTGTTTTTTCGGCAGTTGTACCTAAAGGCATATTATTTATTTTTGGCGGCAGAAGCGTAGAATATCGGAATTAAATATGTATAAGACTGCTTAGCAGCGCTCTTTGTTAAATCTTAGCATTTTAAACCTTATTATAATTGGGGGCTTACTTTTGAATTTAATTCCTATCGATCGACATTGGTATTGTAAAATTTCGTACTCTTGAGTTTCAACACTAGTGCCCATAGCATCCGTATTGCGACGATATTTAAGGAACTAAATGGTATCGAGTTTGGCTTTATTATATTACGTACTCTGAATGCTATTTTAACAGCTACGACTGTAGTTGTATCGTGTGGACATTGAATAATTATTGAGATTTTATTGGATTGAAATTGCATTGACATTGAAATTGGTTTCAAGAGTAGGCGCCCTGTTTGGAGATTATGGCAAAATCTATTTGGTAGAGGAGGTCCATAGATCACCACTTTACCAGTGGACAGCCTCGAGCTTTTGATGGATGATGCATTATCATGTGAAAAGGAAAAGTGTAATAAGAAATTAATAGTACGAATAAAAAACGGATTGTAATTCAAAATGCACTATATTTTATATATTTTCAGTTGCTATGTAGAGGTATTATTACAAAAACCTTTTAAAATCGTAATACAGTCTGCAACTTAAAAATTTCTTAAGAAAATATATTTTTACACAAAATTAACTATTTATATTATGTAATAGTACTTATGTCTGTATGTATGTATACTATATCTATGTATACCTATTGTGCTTTTTAACATTCCATTTCGTGCAAAAATAAACCTTAAAATGTGGTGACCAGAATATAATTAATGTATCTAATGGGTTTAGGTACTTAAGGTATGTTTTCGCTTTGTTTCATTTTGACTCCAAAGAGTGAATTTGATGTCGAATATCTGGAGTTGACCATTTTATTTTAAACATTTTTTTCTGTGTTTTTTGGTAGCATTTGCCATACGCCACGTTTTTTTAGGAGGTAGGTATGAGGCAATCGAGTGGATCATTAGATGGTAAGCAGCCATCGTCGACAATGGACACCCGCAACAACAAACAACTTGTAAGTGCGTTGCCGGTCTAGAAATAATCAGCTGAGAGTAACCAGAAAGTAGTTTGTTGGACATGTTCCATTGTAGAAATCAATTTATTGTGATCACCACGAACTGTTGACTAGAGGAGTAACGTATCGGCTATTCCATTTTTTCACACACAGTTTTATTCGTAAAACCAACACATGTACATTGTAAGTACCTAGTCTACAATGTTATACTTAGTAGGTACAATGATATTAAAAATGATTAATCTTAATGACGAAAATTAAAGTGATCTTTCGCATGACTTGGCGTATTTTTGTATTTTGTTGCTAATTGATATTATAACATTCGGAGACACTACTAATATTATTAAAATGTTTTTCGACTTACTCACGTAATTATTTGACGAGAAACTCGACTAGTTTCAAGCAATGATAGAGGCTCATATTCATGAGCAGCATTCCGCGACCTGCGACGCGGCGACTGTTAGCATTTAGCATGGCTTGAAACTAGTGGAGATTCTAGTCAAATAATTACGTGACTAAGCCGTAAAACATAATAATTAATCTCTTGCTAATGTCTGTAAAAGCATAGATAAGAAATTATTGGTATCGTCTTAAAAATATGTAGTTTAGTTACATGTATATATCGAAGGAAAATGTGAGAAATAAAATTAAATAGGTACTTAGGTACCTACAGATATTTTAGGTCTATTTCAAAATATGTAGTAAATTATTTTAACGTATATAGGGTCCAAAGTGTCAAACGATAGTAATTGGGTACTTTCCTGAATCAAAAAGAAATTATTTCGACTGTTCAATACAATAATATATTACAAAACAATCACACTTTTATTAATTGATTCTATAACCAACTTAATTTAGTATATTTCCAGCAAAATTTTAAGAAATAAGTACGCTATGTGACGCTAAAAAAACGTGACGTCACAATACACAATCTCGTACAAAATTCATAGAAAACTGTCGTTTTTGACAGTTCGGTAAAAAAGTATTGAATTTGACTAATTGCCAAGTACCCAGTTATTATAACGTGATAAAAAGGGGTCCGAAGTCCGTATTATTGATTTTAAAGGATTGGTATTCCAATAAAAAATACACGTTATATTTGTTTTTACTTTCCTGTTTCCTGAATTGCAGGCGATTACTTACTGTTTTTTTTAAAAGAATTGATTGTTCCATTTAATATGATTTGTTTTAATTTTAAGTCGTATAAAAAAAGTAGGAAGTATTTTCTTAACTGATCAAGGAATGTACTTAAATCAGGGCTGTCCAAACCATGGCCCGCGGGCCGCATGCGGCCCGCGGCTTGTTTGATTGCGGCCCGTAGAACCTTTTTTAACTGACTTCAAAAAAAGTCCGGTTTCCAAAATTAACATGCAACAGTGATATATTTGAAGCAGTTAACAAATTATTGTAGAATATGGAGGATTTCGTAAGTGTTCTTGTATTGTGACCGACGGGGCAAAAGCTATGACCGGAAAAGTGACAGGATTTGCGGGACTTCTAATACAAAATGGCATTGATTGCCCGTTGTTCCATTGTATCATACACCAAGAAGCCTTGTGTGGAAAATCGTTGCGTCAAATGAATGCTATGAAAGTTGTTATAAGGATAACCAATTTGATTAGAGGTGGAAACAGATCATTGACACATAGAAAATTTAGAGACTTCTTATGTGAAATCGATGCAAACTATGGAGATTTACTATTGCATTCAGAAATCAGATGGCTAAGTGCTGGCCAGTGCTTGCAACGCTTTTTTGCCTTACGAAAAGAAATACCTTTATTTCTAAAAAATGAGATATCGTCTGACACTTCTGAACTACAAGATAAAATGCGAGATCCTCAGTTTCTGGCTGATCTTGCGTTTTTAACTGATATGACGCAACATTTGAATGAGTTAAATTTAAAATTGCAAGGTAAAAACCACAATATAGCCAACCTGTATGGAAATGTGAATGGATTCAGAAATAAACTTAAATTGTTCAAGACGTCTCTACAACAAGATGATTTTTCTTTTTTTCCAAGTTGTAAAGAACATTATTTAGAGATGAAAAATTTTGAAGAATGTAATTTCTTGGACCACCTCAAATACATGGACGAAATAATCGTCGAATTTGAGCGGCGTTTCGCAGATTTTGAAAAAATTGAGAGTGATATAGCACTCTTCACTCAACCATTAACAATCGCAGTTGAGACTGTAAACATTGATTATCAACTGGAACTGTGTGATCTGCAATCAGACCCCTTTTACAAGGGCAGAACAGAAACAGGCATTGATTTTTTTAAACTCCTCGCTGAACGTTTCCCGAAACTGACGAATTTCGGACAAAAAATGGGCTCGATGATGGGCAGTACCTACCTTTGTGAAAGTGCATATTCGACAATGAAGTTTATTAAGTCTAAATACAGGTCTTCATTGACAGATACTTCACTTAAGCATGCACTGCGCCTAGCTACTACTAATATTAATGTTGATATTGACAGAATTGTAAAAGACAAATTAACAAAACAGTAGGTTATCTACCTACTAAATAAAATAACAAATCATTATAAACTGTTTTTTATTTTTACAAATATTTTGCGGCCCACCAATGTATTTAGTATTTTTTATTGGCCCTGGGTCCCATCTAGTTTGGACACCCCTAACTTAAATGATTGATTGACCTATTTGGGGTTTTTTAGTGAAATGAAAAATAGTTATTTGTTTCAAAATAATATATTAATGTTGGTAGGACTGTTTGAATGAACGCAGTTTTTTATATAAAAATCCTACAAGTACTTACTTACTTAAAATTTTTCATTTAAATATTGTTTATTTTATTCATAATGTACCTATTGTATTTAAAATTAATTACAATGATCGTATTAAGTTGCGTTTTAAATGCATACTGCATTGACTATAATTTATTTTTATTAAAAAGACCATGTCAACACTCATCTTAATAAAAACTAAACTAACGCCATCTATGTTTCGTTCCCAGTAACACTTTCACAATTCGTAATTAATTTTAAATGTTTTTTTATCGTTACTTTTTCTATTGCTTATAAATTGCGTATAGGCGACTTTAATCAACTCTTATTTATAAGTATATTCACATTTTATACTGCTTTATAAATCTACTTATCAAAGTTACATTTAAAGTAATTAAATGAAGGTAACAAAAATAAATGAAAGACAATATTTTAGCAACACATGTTTAAGTAAAGGCACAAATAATTTAAGTACCTAACACAATAAATGATGATTACGGACTACATTTAAAACTTACATTTAAAATATACAGGGCTACATTTTAAATGATACACAGAATTCTAAATAAATGTTTAATCGACGTACAATTTTATTTGAAACATTCTTTATTTGAAATGAAGTTACATATTATATTTTACAATACCCAAAACCAGTTTAATAGCAAGCTACATTATTTTTGGCACGCTACTAAAGAACTAAATTCGTCCATAACTGCTTTTACATACTTAAAACTATGTACATAGGAACAAATGTATGAACTGTATGTACTTATATATGTACATTATATTTACAAGTTTCATATTATTTATTCATTTTAAATGATTATGAAATGTTTCGTATTATATGAAAGTGATGTCTTTTAAAAGAAGATTATATTTTTTAAGTTTTGGGTTACCTTTTTGGTAGGATATACATATTTTTATAGCCACATTTTAGGCTGATTGTATGTGTATATTATCGAACGATAAATAAGGCCTTTTTTAATAGTTATTGATCTTTATGTTGGTCGTGTTATTCCCTCAAGTAGGCATAGCATTAAGTACACATTGACACCTTGGTCCTGCGTCACAGACCAGGGTAGGCAAACGCTGTTCAAACTAATAATTTGGATGAATGTTTGGCAAATGTTTGGCTCATAAATCTTCGTGACATGAACCAACGTCATTACCGACACGATGTTTTTATGATCTCTTTAGCGGGGAATTTTTTTCGTAAAATTACATTGTAACGGTTCCATTTTATTACAAAGATAGGCTTGTTGTGAAGATCCATCATTTTTTTCTATTAATATTAATGATATTGTAATAACATACGAAATAGTTTCCATCAATTCACATGTACCAACATTGACACGAATATTGGTTCCAACTAGACTAGGGCTGTCCTGTCGATGCTCGCGTACTCCTTGCCTGATCTCGGCCTAGTGACGTGTCTGTCGGCCGAGACGTCACACGAACTGAAGGACGAGACTGAGAGGGATTCCATGTAGTCCGACGTATCGGACGCTCCGCTCGATGTGGATTTGGTCGTCATCTGACTGTGGCGGGCTGTGACATCCGTTTCTATAGAAAACAAAACAAAATATATTAGTTACAAAAGACAAATAACATAACATCACGCCTTGTATCCCCGAAGGAGTAGGCAGAGGTGCACATTATACCACTGTACAATGTAACACCCACTTTTCACTATTTATGTTATGAGTCCCATGCAATAGGGGGTGAGACTATTGCCATTTACCGGGCACGATTCCAGACTCCGTGTTATTACTGAGAATATTTAAAAGAACCTAGTAATACTTTGCCCGAACCGGGAATCGAACCCGAGACCCCTTGCCCGGCAGTCGCAGTTATTACCATTCGGCCAACGAGGTAGTAAAAAAAAAAGACAAATAAATCGAAAGGAAACTTCTTTGAATAGCCACCGGTAATAAATCTAAGTCAGATAAAATAGAAGAAAAAAAAAATAGAAGAAAAAAACGTTTCAAATATTAAAGTTGTTTTGTAGCTAAAAAGAGCCAATTATAAGTTTGAATTGCGTGCCACAAAAACATACAAGTCTGACCTTCAGATTTGAAAGTACTAGGCTAGCACAATTTATTACGAACATAGCCTTAGGTATTACAATTCCTTATATTGTGAACCTTCGGCTAAGTTAACTTGATTTAAATTTTTTATCATATAACTAGCCACTCCTTTGAGTTTTCACCCGCTCTGCTCGGTGCCTATTGATTGTAGCGTGATGTTTTAGCTATAGCTAAACTAAGTTAAGCTAGTTTATAGATAAACGCACTATCCAACACAAAAATAATTATTCAAATTGGACCAGTAGTTTCGGAGATAAGCGCGATCAAACAAACAGACAAATAAACTCTTTAGATTTATATGATTAAAAGTATAGGTATGAGAAATGTTCGAAAGTCAACTTACCAGGTCTCTTCTTCCGTCTCGTCAGCGTGTCCACATCACAAGAATTAGATTTCGTTAACGTCGCCACCTCCTCAAACTGAAATGTCAAGTTCTTCAACGGATCCGAAGAATTCGACTTGACGAAGGCATGCACTGGAGTCAGAGCCTTCCTCATTTGCTTACTATTCTTCACATGCTTTTTTATTGATTTCGAACTTGTTATTGGCATTTCAAATTCGTTAAAATCACCCTTATGATGCTTCAAAGACCCTGTTGAGACCCCAGAATCGTTTGAACTCGACGAGTCTCTATTTTTGTCCGATTTACTAGGAACACTTGATGAACGCCGTATTTTTACAGCGTCCCTAAACTTAGTCACCAGTGCATTCTCGCTTTTTAACTCAGGCACTTTGAATTTATCTTTCGGTTCAATGATTTCTAGACTTATTTGCACGCCTTCGTTAATTCGATCAGTTTTCGTAGCTTTTCTAAGAACAGTTGGAGTGAAACATATCCGATTGTTCATCCCATAGTCATCATCGTGTCTCTTCGTGAAGTCCGCGGAACTTGATCGTCGCGTGCTATTTGTGTTGTCTGACTCAGAATGTTGTGTGGGGTCGGACATATGGCTGATCCGACTTATATTGTCTGAGAAATTCTGTTTGCTACTTGAAATACTGATTTCTAGTGGCTCCATGTGCATGTAATTTAAGTGTTCATTACAGCAATCTGTGGAGGGATGCACAGTATTCGTTGTAGCGGTTGATATATCGTCATCGTGCTCAGGGATGTCTTCCAAAGCGTCTAATTCTTCCTGGCTGAATCCAGCGCTTCTTAGAATCTGTAGGGAATTCTCGAACTTTTCAAGTGTCGAGAGGTCTATGTTAGCGTAGTTGGCAAAATCTATTTCTGGGACTGGTTTCTTGGTGGCAGTGGGGTGTGGGGTAACGTTGACGTAGTTGGAATGTGTCTCAGCTTCGTTATTGTTAATGCTAGTATCACTTGGGTTGTTATTATCTGTTTGTTGGTTCTCTACGTTTTTGGCTTCGTGTGTGCAGGTGCACGGCTGCCCGTTGAGCAGACATTTCAGTTTCTTTGGTGTATCGTATATGCTGGAGGGGTCTGTGTGAGAGTCTACTGGGTGCTCCTGTAACAAAGATTGATATTTAACTAATTGAATAAGTTCTGAATCAAGTACGTTTTAATTAGGAGTAATAATATCTCTAGAACTGGTACGCTATATAATAATTACGTTAAAGTTGCTCTTGATATTTAATTAAGACTTTTTAGAGGCTACCTTATTTAATTTTAACAAGCTTTCACTTTAACTTAATTCTGGAGTTTTAATTCGGTCTTACCTGTATTAAGGGCATTGGTGTTTTTGGAACATCGTAGTTCTCGTAGGGTCCGCTGAAGGATTTCTTTCTACAGCAGCATGGTTTGACCTGCTGCCAGCATTGGCAACTGCCGCCGGTCTTTGCCGGGACAGTTGGGGTACAGCAAGTCACTGGGCTCGCACGTTTGGACTCAAAGCTCTTGTCCAGGAGACAGGCACTGCGCGGTACACTGTACTCTGAAGCACTGCCACTTGAACGAGAGTATATGGAGGCTCTGTCAGAATCCGAGCGCTTTTCTAGAATATTGTCCATTGTCCAGACTGGGGACATTATTGAACCTGGCGTGTTCATTGTTGATGATCTGGAAATATGAGAGAAAACGTGAGAAGACATTGTCAGGATCTTATGACTACCATCTCATTGTTAATAATGGCAACTAATCATTACGAAAAGGCTAATCTACTAAGTGATAAAATTGTAATTGAATCTGGTTACTGTAATAAAATGGTCAGACTCAAAAAAATATCAATGTGCCTGTTTTTCAAAAGAACAAGAAACGCTTAGAAGAATTTCTCTAGTTTCCCAACCACTTACCTCGTCAAATGACTGATCTTCCCGATGCAACTGGAACACCGCGGCAATGAGGTTGGTCTCCTGAATTTCTCCTCGCCATCAAGGCTGGAGTCCAGATCTGAGAGACAGTGCATAGTCTGGCTTGCAGGACCAGCCCAGGATGGAGACACGGACCTTAGAGACGTGTGGAAGCACTCGTCCATGCAGGAACTGGCGTCTGAGAAGCGTTTTTCTAGCACTGAAAGAAGGTAAAGAAGATTAATGGATGGAGTCATACTTGGGGTAGGGAGTTAAGGGTGATATTGGCTTGTCTCACGTGGAGGAAGTAGTGCACTTCGAACAATGCAACATTTGGTTTGGACGAATTTTCTTGTACATAAAAGAGGGTTTTCTTGGGTATGGTATTAGGTGTATAATGTGTATGGGTTACAATAAAGATCTGCTTCTCAAAATATGACCTGTCCCACTTAAATCGTATACTGCGAATGGCTGTCAAAATCACACTGTCAGATTGTCCTACATTCCCACTCCCATTTCTGTGTACAAGATAAGATGTTCAATCAAAATCACTTTCGCTACATTTTTGTAGTTTCAGGTACAGTTGATAAGGAAAAATCACCCTTAATAGTTACGTCATACGTACGTATTTTTAAATAAACGAAAAGTACCAAAGGACTGAGATATAGCTTTGCGGATCACAATCCTACCTACGATTTCTTTTAAAGACATCCTGACACGTATACTGAATTACAGACGCCAAGCTCACATCAAGCTACTCCAATCCATCGAATTTCTTCAATCGAAATTCCACTGTATTGCCACACAATTAAATCAAAAATCATATTAACAGATTGAGATGACATTAACATGCGTTTGTCTGAATCTGTGGTAGTAATTGAATCAATATTTAACACGGATTGTATTCTATATTCCGTGACATTTAAGCTACATTCTAACTGTCTGTCGCGCTAACTATAGTTCTGTCCCTACAAATTATTTGTAAAAAGACAAAGATGGCACGATATTGAAGTACAACTCAAAATTTAGTAGCCTTCCAGTATTTGGGCTTGTGTTGTGCAAAGCTGTGAGAATCGTTCGCAATTTTTTATCTTTTAAAGATTAGATTAAGCAGGTATACAATGACTTCTCATGGCATGTGGCACTCCTTTCCAACGTCAATAACGCTAAAGGTGACTTCGGATTTTACGGTCAAGAGATGTGTCAATATTGTTTTTTTTTTCTAGTTTGTCTGTGGTACGTTCTTACGTACAGTAGAGTGGGTTTTAAAAAAATAGTTTGCTCACTGATCGTGTTTGTTTATCAAACTGAAGCGTTATAGATAAATGGATTTGTTAATGATCCGTGATTGAGAGTTGAATCGAGTAAATAAAACTCTTATTATAAGATTAAAGCTAATGCTACTATTCTAATTCAATTTCCTAGTAAATAATGAATTTAAAATATATATAAATATTCAAGTTTAAGAGCTTCTCACTTAAGACCATAGACAGAAAATATACCAACTAATAGTTATATTGTCAAAAGACTAACCTGATCCACTCCTAGACGCTATGCTAAGCCTGGACTGTGCCTCGTGACTGTACACGTTCAGGAGTTCCGTCAGCTCCCTGCCTCCTTCAGCTGCGAAGATGAATAGGCCCTCGCCCTTCCCACAACGCGAGCCTCCTTCCACGCAGAACCTTTTGTCGACCACTCCGTAGCGTCTGTGGAAGATAAGAAGATTTAAGTCAAGTATTTTTTCCTAGAAAATATTTAAGAGTCCTATTTCACAGTCAAAGTTTATATTCCTAAGTGTACAAAATTAGCATATTAAAGGGGGTGCAAATTGAAAATCAGTGTTGGGTGCTCATTGTGCCCAGCTTCATGCTGCATGTCCGCCAACACCGCGCAGTATGTTGCACCTGGATTATTGGCTTGTTTTAGTTTTATAATTTACCTGTTATCTTTTTATTTTTCTGTTTTTATACCTTTTTATTGTTATATATCTTTTCTGGCGTGCATGTCTTATGCCGAATAAACGTATTTCATTTCATATCCCACCCATTGTTGTCGATTTCTATAATGGGAATTTCAAGACTTTTGCGTAAAAAGTATTGAAAGAATTATTTGTCCTATGTTAGTTTATCAAAATGCGAATAGGTATGTATCGGTTCAGACGGTTGTCTAAGTATTTTCTTTAAGAGCGATAGAATACGTAACTCTCCAAAGGAATATGCGAACGGACATTCGCATCTATCAGACATGCCATAGTAGTAGTCGATAAGATATAATATTGAAGGATATGAAAGGGATGGACAACTGAATACAATAATTTAGATAACCTAAAATCATTGAACCCCCATTTACCCGCCATATCGTAAACACGCTTCTATACATGAAATTACGACCGAATCATAGTAGGTACCTTAATTCAGGTACTGCTAACAAAACACTACAGAACTAATACTAACAAAATCAATAATAATACAAAAATAAAAAAACAAAAATAACAAAAAAAAAAACAAAAACAGAACTAAAAGTAACAAATTCAATAATTCTTTTATAGACTACGTTTCAAAAAACCCGACTTCCACCGCGTATCTTTTTAAAGTCGGTTAATTAATATACTAAACCCTTCTCCTAAGTGTAATAAACACTTTTCTGAAAACCGCATCAAAATCGGTTCAGCCAATCGGGAGATAATCGCGCACAAACATACATACAAACAAACATATAGGTTAAACTGTGAACCTCCTTTTTTGTCTTTTTAAGGCCAATGTGAAGGGTATGGCGCCAAAAATATATAGTAAAATTCCTAATGATATTAGAAATTGTAATGTTACATTATTTAAAAATAAATTGAAAATAATTCTCGCCAAGAACTGTTATTATACAACAACTTCATACAACAAGTGTGTACAGGTGGACTTAATGCCTTGGGCATTGTATTATAGTATTCATGAATTCTTAAATGAAAATAATTTTAATATGTAATTATTGCATCTCATATTTTTCTTTAAATTTAATTAAATGTATACCTAATTGACTTAACGTTCATTTTGATTGACTGACATTTTCATAAAATACTTATTTATCTAATACGAATTTGATTATATTGTAAAATGACTCATTCGTATTAATGTATTTCATTTAAACTGTCAAACACCAAGCGGTCACCGGTGACCGCAACCTATTGTTCTATAATATAATTGTGTCTATAATGACGGTACTCGACGAGTTAAATAATACTTTTGCGCGTTGTGTTCCACGGCAAAACATGCTGTACAGAAACATTTTATTCAACATTTTGTTATCTACCATGTTTTGTGCAAATAAATGATTTCATTTGATTTGATTAAGTCGGTCAAAAACCGCAACAATCCTTTTTACAGACACACACACACACACACACACACACACACACACACACACACACACACACACACACACACACGAATTATGAAAACTTAAACCCATTGACCAATGACCGCTATCGATCTCTAACTAAACACAAGCCATTAACCACGACGCACCCCACAACCTCAACCTGATCAGTGACCACTGCAAATCGCACACAGGGGAGAATCCGAGAACGAAGGGCCCGTACCCGATCGAAAAAAGAAAGAAAGATAACGGCCTTAAGTAATTACTTCATTCCCTTATCTCTTTCCTTTTATTATCCAAAGTTAAGTAATTAGTCACTTTTTAATTGATTCAGAGTTTTGCTTTAAGCTACATATTTAAGTATACAAAACCAATTTATCAAGACCTCGCTTTATATACTCTTTATACAAATTGAAAGGTCAGTTTATATTGGTCTTGCATAGTTTGATGTGTCGTTGCACAATAAGTGTTGTCGCACTTGGGTGGTCCTGGTGACCCGCATGTTGTAATTAAACGAAGTCGTAATCAAGATTCATTAAGTTGATGATGAATTGTGATTGATGATGAGGGAGAGTAAATTGTGCTGCTTTCTACTTTTTAGCGATATTTTTGAACGTTGGTACAGATCTGTCTGAAGCCTTAGTACGAGTTTGTCTTACGTTTAAAGTAAACGTAACGAGTACGCGTTCGGCGCTCTGATTGGTGGGTTCATTGGCACCGGCCAACCAGAGTGCCGAACGCGTACTCGTTTCGAATACTTTAAACGTAAATCATACTCGTGCTAAGCCCTCTGTTTACATTTCAGTTAATAACGTGGAGAATCGCCATTTTTGATAAAAATGTCTGAGCAATGTCAAAGATCGTTCGCGATCTTTAGGTAGGTACAAATTAATTGTACAAAGTAAATGTTGCGTTATTTAAAACATGTGTAACAGGATATATCTAAATTTGTGAATGCTCATTAAAATGTAATACTATATGAAACCTAAAAAGGATTAATCATAATTATGTGCTAACGTCAGATAATGTACTTTCTACCTACTCGAATGTAGCAAATAAGTTAAATGGAAAACGAATTAGTTTCGCGTTTCCATAGAAATAAGTCATTAATCCCATCTAGCTGACTATTTTACTCGAATTTCTGTATAAATAGAATTAATTATTAAGACGAAATTACAAAAAAATGGTAGCCATTTAAAAAAAAAACACGAGTATAGACTATGTTTGAAAAACGCAAAACGTTCTTAATTTGAACATGAGACAAAGACAAAACACGTGTTCGTTTACAAAGTTGCCTACGTTTTAAATATTAAATGTATTCGTTGAAAAGTTTTAATTTAATCTGGATTTAAGTCTTAAACTTTTCTTGTTCAAACTTGATTACGTGTTTGACCGAAGATGATTTTAATTCTGACTTCGAACCTTTTCGCTGGAAGTGTTTCGTTACCTTTACTAGGCAATATTAACTTTTATGAATGTACCTAGTACTTGATTTATTTTGTGAAAGATAAAATTTACAACCTCTTCGAATGATTACGAGGCCCGAAATGTTTATGTTAGATGGAATTTGTAACTAACACACGAAGAGGTAGTATTATAAAAGGCTATTAAGTTTTTTTAAGTATTATACCTAGTATTTACTACGCGGAGAACCTAACGGGTTACCGGGGCTCCAGCTGGAAGTGTAGGAGAAGGAACGGGGTGGTTTTTAGTCAGTTAGAGTCTGAAACTCCCTCCCGCCTTAAAAAAAGTATTTACCTACTTACATAATTATCACGTTTATACAGAAATAAATTTAATACGCATATTATAAAAAGGCTTTGTGAATACTAAGCTACTATGTATTATGTAACAGAAAAGTATTTTCTCAATTTACTATACCAATATCAACCCTTTTTTTACCACATTTTTTACAAGAACCAGCCAAAATTCGTCTTAATCTAGTCAAGTTAATTCAAGCGGTGGTATTCAACCGCGCCATGGAGGAATTTAATTTTGACAGTGGATGCCAATGGACGGGTGCTAGCGAATTTCACGGATGCCTGCAACCAAGATTCAAGTAGTATTTCGGTAAAAGAATGGCTGGATGGGACATTTTGTTTAAGTTATTCTTTTCGTTAGGAATTCCTTGCGATATGAACATTTTGTCGAGGTATTTTGATCATTTTGTGTCCTATGAAATGTAAATTAAGTCATTACTTATATCTTATTTTTTTCTTATTCTTATTTTGTTACATAATCTGTGGATTCTGCAAAGTACTGAATAAAATAATATTGCTTGCAATTTATTTAAGTACCTGGTGGATTATAAATAAACCATTATAAATAAACGATGTATGCTTTAATTGGTATCTTCCGCAGTTCCTTACATCCTGGTAACGTAGTCGGACCACAAACGACGTCGCTGGAGCCTGGAGCTGCATCCGACAGATCGCCTTTGAATTATTTTGATTCGCCCTCCTCTTTGTGTTTGTGGAAATTGAACGGTACCTCCGTTTTATATCTGGTATTGCCATGTCATTTCTTTTGTCGTTTCAAATACCCATGCACGTGAATATTTTTAAATTTTTGTTTTTATATCCCAAGCTATGGTCGTTGTAATTCCTGTATTACTTTTATAGAGATGCCGTACCATGATTCTTATAACATAAGGAACAAAACTTTTTATTAACGACCCTTTTATCCACTTAAAAGAACAATAAACTTGAAGTCAAATTAAAAATAACGCCCACAAAAAGTCCACAACAAAAAGATTTCCCAGTTGAAAAACTTTTATATCCGTATAAAACTAACACAACTTCCTGACGTAAAACGACACGTGGCAGCATCATTAAAAAAAAATGTCAAATTTGGTTCGCGCCAGAAAATATTCGAATGGAATTCCAAGTTCAAAAAGCGTTTGAATTCAAAAAATTTAGTCGGCTAAATTCAGGTGTCTCGCGTTTGAATCGTTTAGTAAATGGAACTACGGCATTTTCGATTGGGTCGGTTAGCGTTTAACAAGGAGTTTGTAGTTTAGTCACGTAGGTCTTTTACTAGGGAGCTCGTCGTATGAATAAGGAAGTCGGCAGTGTGTTTTTAAATGGCATTTAAAATTATGTTTCCGATTTAATGTAGACGTTTAGATAAAATTTTACGCGCAGAGCTCTTCTTTCGTTAACTTTCCGAGAGCTTTTTCTTTTTCTGAGATTTGACTACCTGGTCGGAAAGTAATTTTGTTCAAGGTGCTCAATGTGAAAGTAGTAGTTTAATACTCTGTGTAACTATTTTATAACAATTTTTTTTTTAACTTTTATGGGCACTCGTAATCGTTTGAAAGGGTGCCGTCAAAATAAATTTA